TCTAGACTGCTGAAAATAGCCCCCAAGGAAAATAAATGTTCTCAATCACCAGGGAGAACAGAATGGTGATTACAATTATATTCACATTTTAATTTACTTAGTACAGTATCATATATAAAAATTTCAGAATGTTGAGGTCTAATCTAGTTTCATCACTCTAAGGTATGTGATCTAAGTTGAGTCTTGTGATAGTGAGTTTTCTTAACTATGAAATATAGGAGGATAAGATGATTTTTACTAAAATCAAGGTTTGCTAACACAACCAATTATACTAATTGGAGTCCTGGTGTGGCACTGTTGGTTAATGCACTGGGCTGCCAAGTCTACTTTGAACTGTGAGACCTGCAGTTCAAGTTCATCAGTTACTCCTTAGAAATCTTATACAGGGTCTCTATGGGTCGGAACCCGATTCTACTGCACTTAACAACAATATGTACTAATTAATATTATCAGCTTTACACCAACTGCACAGATTGATAGAAAAGCTAGCTGAACCAGTTTGCAGAAAAATGACCTAAAAACTATTCTAAAAAAGTTTAATACAGTCCTTAAAATGGCACGAATGCTGAAGAACAAATGTAATCTTCCTTTTTCTTTAAAAAAAGATAGTATGAGTTGTTGTTTTTGTTAAGTGCAGTCATGTCGGTTCCAACTCTAGCAAACCTGTATAGGGTTTCTAAGGAACAGCTGGTGAGTTTTGAACCAACGACCTTACAGTTCACACTGGCTTTGTGGTCCAGTGCTTATCCTACAGTGTTACACCAGGACTCCATAGCTTGAGTGGTCTTCTTGTTAAGTGTTGTTAAGTTCATTCCTACTCACAGAGACTCTGTATAGGTTTCTGAGGAGCAGCTGGTGGGTTTGAACTGCCGACCTTGTGGTCCAAAGTTTAGTGCAGATCCTACAGTGTCACACCAGGAGTCCACAACAACACCCTTCTGGAGTATTATGTTCAGCTTTACATGCTCTATTTTCAGAGAAACAGAAATTAGCAGTGGGTCTAAAGAGGGCAGTAACAGGGATAACAAAGGTCTCCTCAAATAGACTGCTTAAAAGACCTGGAATGCTGGCCTAGTAAAAGAGGACAAGGGGTGAGTGATAGCCATCTTGAAATGGGTAAGTGACTTCCTCTGTGTTGCACAGAGGACAAATCTAAGAACAATGGTGGTGGTGGTGGTGGTGGTGGTGGTGTTAGGTGACCTGGAATCAATTCTGACTCATGACAACCTTATATAGGGTTTCCAAAGAGCAGCTGATGGGTTTGAACCACTGACCTGGCGGTTAGCAATCCAGTGCTTATCCAACAGTGATATACCAGGACTCTAAGAACAGCGTTTGTTATTGTTAAGTTCTATCAAGTCAGTTCTGACTCATAGAGACCTTTTACTGGGTTTCCAAGGAGCAGCTAGCTAGTGGGTCTGAACCACTAACCAACCTTGTGGTTAGCAGTCCAGTGCTGATCCTACTGTACCACACGACGACTCCAAAGAACAATGGTAGAAGCAGTAAAAACAAAGAAGTCAGCCTACTAAAGAAGAACTCTGTAACCACAAGAGTATTCTGTGACAGGATTGGGTCACTTTCTAAAGCACTGAGTGTCCAATCTCTGATGTTCAAAATTAGACATTAAATGAGCATCAGGCAGGTATACTACTTTGGGTACAAATTTTAGTTAGATTTAAGAGGACTAATGAAATCCTCTTGAAATTTTAAGATTCAAAAGTCCATCAGAAATGGCAGGTAATGTTACAGCAAACAGTGAGAGAGGAAACACCCTATTCTGATATCACAAGAAATAAGATTATGAAAAGTGAAAGATGCATGGAAAATGCCAGTTCGCACTACAACTGTTGTTGTTACGTGCTGTGGAGTTGGTTTCGATTCATAGCGACCCTGTACAGGGTTTCCAAGGCTGTAAATCTTTATGGGAGCAGAAAGCCTCATCTTTCTCCCATGGAACAGCTGGTAGTTTCGAACTGCTGACCGTGAGATTAGCAGCCCAATTTGTAACCACTACGCTACCAGAGCTCCTTCGCACTACAACTGTTGTTGTTGTTGTTATGTGCCATCGAGTCGGTTCCGACCCATAGCGACCCTGTATAGGGTTTCCGAGGGTGTAAATCTTTATGGGAGTAGAAAGCCTCATCTTTCTCCCGCGGAGCAGCTGGTAGTTTCGAACTGCTGACCTTAAGGTTCGCAGCCCGATTTGTAACCACTACACTAGAAGAGCTAAAAACCACAGTGCTGATACGGTCACTCTTTGCCAATTAGTTGGGTGCCTCTATTCTCTCCTATGATCTAGTTCCTCCTGCCAAATCTTGTAATTTCAGAGCCCTGTGAACCCCTTTCTAAAACTGTTTTCTTTTTAAGTAAGCTTTTCAATTATGCAAGCCATTACCTGACACCCTATTACTAGTACAAAACCAAAATAGAAACTATGATTTGTCTTACCACATTTATCATGAATTCAATACATATTAGATAACAGAATAAGCATAATTTTAAGATCTAATGCTTTCAACATAGTATTTTTGCTTTCCTGTATTTAACTGACTGTCGTATCAATAGATCCAAAAGCAACAAAGCTTAATTTTACTTCATTTTTACTACTTATACAAAGATAAAAACAAAGCACTGGATTGCAAACTTTACAGTCCAGCATATTAACCCACAGTGCCACACCAGGACTCCAGTAAGGGGTATGGATATACCTAAGATTAGTTTTCTGTGTTGTTGGGGGTTTTTGTCAATTTGTTAAATGCCACTGAGTCGATTCCCTGTACAGCATTTCCAAGTTTGTAAATCTTTGCAGGAACAGAAAGCCTCATCTTTCTCTCATGAAGCTGCTGGTGGGCTTGAATAGCCAACCTTGTGATTCACAGCCCAGTGCGTACCCTACAGAACCACCAGGTTCTGTAGCCCACTAAATTAGCATTTGCTATTCCCAACATTTTTAATGTAACAAAATTACTGTGCTATAATTGTGTGGCACTGTAGGATAAGCACTGCACTAAAGATTGGTTTGAACTGCAAGGTCAAACTCACCAGTCACAACTCAGAAGCCCTATACAGGGTCAATATGGGCCTGAACTGATTTAATGGCACTTAACAACAACAACATTTCTAACAACAATAAAAAATAATTCTTTTAATGTACAGATATAAGTTCAAAGGCTTTAAGCAGTTTTTATTTGTGAGAAGGAGAAAGGAAACTAAAGCAAAAGCCCAGTAACAGGTGGCCTCAGATAGCAGAGAAAGAAAGAAAAACCAAGGCATCCCAGCTTATTTGTAGTTTGAGAATTTTTCCTGCAGGAATAAAATCCTATCTACATTGCAGAATCAGCTGGAAAAGCGGCTTCATTATTTAGTATTTTGATTTCCAGACAGTTTATAAATCTTTCACCAATTCAGCCCGGCTTATTCACGGTTCAGGTCAGTTATCCATTACAAGTGTTTTACATCCATCCCTTCCTCTCTAGCTTTCAATCACTGTCTAATCTCTACATAATCCTTCTTGACGTTTTTTGTCTCTAAAATATAAAGGATTAATGCACAAGTTCCCCAACTAGCCTCTCTAACTACACCACCTTAAACATAATAACAAAGAAAAACACTTAACTGCCATCACTGAGCAAGTTATTTTAACTTTCCTGTGCCTCAGTTTCCACATCTGCAAAGCAAGCATAAAAAAAGGCTAATACTCTATCACTGTGTATATAGCATATAGCAGGTAGAGAATTACCAAGAATGAATCACTTATAAGGTAGTTACACATTAAATGTAGCAGCGTATATAAAGTACTTAGCACCTGACCAGGCACACAGAAAGCTCACATTACCAGGAAGTTACTCATAACATCAAAATCTTCAGTTGGTCCAGTCCCCATTTCCCACAAATTTCAACTTAAACCTTGCTATCCTTTTTTCAAAAAGAAACTTGTGGCTATCTGACTTATTTTTTCTCACCAATTCAATATCCAAACAAGCATTCCCACGAAAATCAACCCAATGTCTTCTCTTTTCCACAAGAAGTCAACCTTATTTCTGAGGATCTAGAACTTCATTAATAACTATCCTCTCACTGGAACAGCTTTTATCTTCCTTTGCCCAGCCAAATATCAAATCCTTCAGTTCATATCCCACATCTGGCCCTACAAGCACTTCTTGGCAACATCTGCCTTTAATCATTTACCCTTTTCTCTAAAATCCATGCACACATTGTTTTATGTTACTGGAGTCCTGGTGTGGCGCTGTGGGTTAATGCGCCAGACTACAAAGCCATTTGAACTGCAAGATCGACGGTTCAAGTTCACCAAGCTGCTCCTTGGAAACCCTTATACAGGGTCGCTATGGGTAGGAACCAGCTTGATGGCACTTAACAACAACAACATAACCTTTCTAGGTAAACTATATATTCTTAAGGATGATGACACCATATTTTTTTACTTCCATATTCCCTGTGCTGTTGCTAAGTGCTGTTGAGTAAATTCTGACTCAAAAGGATACTACATAGGCTTTCCAAGGAGTGGCTGGTGGGTTTGAACTGCCAACTTTGTGGTTAGCAGTCCAGTGCTTATCCTGCAGTGTCATACCAGGCTCCAGTGACCATTTCTGAATAATATGATGATGAATGGTAACCATTTTATTCTTCAGTTTCCAGCTCAATTATAACAACAGCAAAAACTATCTGTTACGTTATGAATCAGAAATCTTGAAAATGATATTTCCAACAAATCAGTAATAAAATAATTTACAATCCTAAACCATCTTCTGGATCACACATGCATACATTCATAAAGGCCAATGGCAAAGATTAACATTTACATAATAACTACTGTCTAATATGTAAACTGTTTTCTGATTAAATGTTCACTGCTTCTCATTGCTTTTCAGTCATTAGTATTTTCATGACTTTAATCAAAACAAATAACTTTCTATTCAAAAGAAAAGTGATACCATAAATGTACCTGAAACACCAAAAAATAATTTAAAAGTGCTTACCTAATCCTTTTTGTCCTGGATTCTTTGCAAAATTAAAAGTAAACTGGTAAAAATCCTTAAATCGTCCAGGTTCTTTCAATTCTTGTTCCATCTTGGGTATCTGAGCCTTTAGTTTTTCTATGCTGTCACATCTACATTATAAAATTAAGTTTATAAAAGATGAACTTCTTCACTATAAATAAAGAACTTATTTATTCCTAGACAGGCTTAGCTTTCATTTCACAGAATTTATTTTTAAAAAATCAAATAGTTAGAGAACTTCATCGTTTCACATTACATAAATATAAACAGGCATAGAGTTAAATGGGAAAGAAAAGGTCTGGAGAGATTAAACGTTTGAAATGATTACTATATTACATGAAATAGATTATTACTTTTAATTACACAATTAATTGTCCTATGACTTTCTGATTGTAGAAGTCAGCTACAAACTATAGATAAAAATATGCTGTAATTAACAAAACAATCATCAGTTTAAATTGCATTACCAGTTGCCATCCAGTCAACTTCAATCCATGGCAACTCCATGTATGTCAGAGTAGAACTATGATCCATAGATTTTCAATGGCTGATTTTTCAGAAGTAGATCACCAGGCTTTTCTTCCAAAGCACCGCCGGGTGGATTCAAACCTCCAGTCTTTCAGTTAGTAATGGAGCACAACAGTTTACGCCATCCAGAGGCTCTAGACAATCCTTGTTGTAGTTGACGTGTGCTACCAAGTCTATTCCAACTAATAGCAAGGTTTTAGAGAGCCTATAGAACAGAGTGGAGTCCTGGTGTGGCGCTGTGGGCTAATGCGGCAGACTGCAAAGTTGTTTGAACTGCAAGGTCGGTGGTTCAAGCTCACCAGCTGCTCCATGGAAACCCTATACAGGGTAGTTATGGGTCGGAATCAACTCGACAGCACTTAACAACAACAATAGTGAGCTGGCCCCCAGAGGGATTCCTATGCTGTGATCTTTAGGAGGGCAAATTACCAGGTTTTCCCCCTGATATGCAGTTGGTGACCTTTCAGTCAGCCATCAAGGGTTTAACCATTGTACCAGCAGGACTCCTAGACAATCCTTACATTGTAACAAAATCACATTCAGCTTTCAAACTATAGGAAAGCCTAGTCTCTTGCTAAGGCATGGAAGCAGTCCCTTGAAAACTTTGTTGTCAAGTCAGTTTCAACTCATAGCCACTCCATATAGGGTTTCCCAGGAGCCTCTGGTGAATTTGAACCACTGACCTTGAAGTCAGCATTCCAATATTTATCTTATAGCATCACACCCTTATTATATACAAAGTACAACAATACACGATGCTCAGCTCAGGCCCCTACCACCTTCAACTCAGTATTAACACACATTTTCTGAATTTCTGAAGTATTCAATTTCTAAGGAGTTGAATGGTCCAAGTACCCAGTCTTACTTTTCTAATAACAGCCTTAAGAAAATGAGGTAAAAAACATACTATTTCTTACAGATCCTACAAACCAGTTGTTTCACTTGTTATCCTGTTTTCATTTCCTTCTATATTCTTAATAACATATTTCAGAACTTCAGTTTGTAAATTAAAATTCTAATTTCAGAGTTCATTACATTTTACATGAGTTTCAAATGAGAAAAAAAAAAGGTGAAACACAGTTTACTTTGGATTCTAATGAAACCTGTCCTAAAAGAAATCCCCAGTATGCTTAGGATAGGGCTAACTTTGACTATAGAGCATAGTATACAATCAGTTATTAATTTATTCTATCTCAGCTTTACACCCACTCTTCTTTGCCTCACAAGACTCCACTTCTCTTGCAAGCCAAGCCTGAAAGGGGCAAAAGGAACTTTTCTTATCCTAGTTTTGGATGGTCCCTGCAGCAGTCACCATAGTGGCAGACACTCACAGTTCCACCATCACTAGGCAGTTTCCTCTCCCCAAGAGTGGCAAGCATCACAGGCCTCTGTTCTTCCTGCAGTAGCCATGTCCTCTCCTTGGGGTCTGAAACTCAACTTTGTGGGACTTCTAATGTTTCTAAGTTCCTTCCTTCTTTACTTCCCTCAGCCCCATGAGCTGCTTTCTACAGTTGCTTCTTCTGTTATACATTACAGTTTTCTTTTATAGCCTTTAGCAGTTCGCCAAGGAGCCCTGGTGGTACAACAGTAAGTACAAGACTGACAGCCAACAGGTTGGCAGATCAAACCTACCCAATGGCTCTGCAAGAGAGAAACCTGGCTATTTGTTATTTAAAAGCCCAGAAAACTCTATAGGGCAGTTCTATTCTGTCACATGGGGTCACTATCAGTAAAAATTGACTCCAAGGCATCCAGTAAGAAAAAGTTATTTTTCATTTTTATTTTACTTAGTAAACCATTTTTTATATTAAAATTTCCTCTGAAATTTACTGATGCAGTTTTTTGTTTTTTGACTGAAACCTGATTGATTATAATGTCCTTCAGGCCCAAAACTAAAAATGCCTGGGTTCAAATTTTAGCTCTAATACCCCCCAATTTTATAATTTCTCCAAGCCTCTGCCTCAACTCTAAAATGGGTATGTAAATATTACTTCCCTCACAGAGTGTTCTGAAGAAGCAAGTGAAGTACTTAGTACAGTTTATGAAATAAGAGAAAATGCTCAATAAATATTAGCTATTATGTTCAACAGTGACCCACTGAAAACAGAAAGGGCAAAATAATTTTCCAGTCTCATTAAATACAAACCAATATTAAAACTTTGGTCTATATTTAACTCAATCATGACTTTTTCAGTCTACTTAAATATACCAGAGATATTTAAGCCAATCACTTGTTACAGCATAGGGGGAAAAATTAGTAACTGGTAAAATTCTAGGATTTTTAAGTTCAGAATTTACAGCCTCCCAACAGGAAATAATTTACACACTTGTTCATTTCATTTCTCCATGTTAAATAATAAAGGATAGCTTTTTTATTAGTACTAATGAACTTCCCTCAGAAACAAATGGTAAAAGTATAATATGAATGGAATAGGCTGCAATATACAAATACCAGGCAAAGCCATGTTAACATGGGAACTTAGCATGTCAACTGTTTCTATGTATACCATTGTCAGTAGGACAGTTTTTAAAATTTATATTGTGAGATTTAAAAATGTACATTCTGAAATTCAAGACATAATTCATTTCTACAGCAATTCTCACAATAATGTATCTAATTTTCTCTGGTGATTATGGACTCACCCTAACTCTGTCATGCCATCCATGAACTCCTGTTTGGAGAACTCGCACTGTGTTGCTGCTCTAAACTTCCACGCAATGATCAACACACTGATGCTGGCTGGATCGAGTGCCAGGTCATCACAGAATTGCTGTATACCATCTATTCCAATTTTATTTTCATCTTGAGGATCTTTAGAAATAACAATGCAGTCTTAAATTAGTACCATAATTTATTCTGCTACATTCCTAAAACTTAATACTTGATTTTCTATTAAAAAACAATCATACAATGATAAAGACAATAAAGTAATATAACTTTGACAGTTTCCCCATATAATATTTAAAGCCACTTTATCCCTTAAATTAGCATTTTTACAATGATTGGGAGGGTGGATATGAAGATGAACACTTAATACTAATAAGTCTCATTTATTCATATGGGAAATGTCCTACACACTGTATATACTCACAGATATCAAACATTTCTATATAGGGATAAGGGATCCTAATGGAAAATATTTATACTTTGTTTAGGTGGGCATTCTAAAAAAGCAGTAGTACATACAAAAATAATTTTTCTCTTAAAAGAAAGTACATTTTATCAGAGTTCATTTCTTGAGAGACCATCAGAAAGACCGCAATCCAGTACCAATCTCAACAATATAAACATTGGTTGATTAATTAAATGAAAAGGAAAAGCTACTAATATTTACTGATAAGACAGGCAAACATAAAAAGTAACAAATGCAAGGAGAAACAGGCATGCACACACATATACTGCTGCTGTGATGTGCTCACACCTTTCTAAAAGTCATCTGGCAGTATTTCTAAGCAATAAAAATGTGCACAGCCTTTGACTTTTGAGCACGAGTTATATATACACTACAAGTTCATCTTTGGAAAACAATAGAAAGAAATACTGTATACACATTTTTGAATAAACATAAGAGGAAAACATGAAAGGATCCAACCTATAATAAATAATGAAGAATAAATGAGGGAAAGATAGAGAAGTTACTAAACTTTTCTTTATTCATTATGGCTTTTTTAACTTTTTTAAAGTATGTATTACTTCAAAAATCTTTTTTTAAGCTATTAAAATTGCTGTTTAGCTTTTCTTAAAATCTGACAAGAGGTGGAGTCTTGTGAGTTTTCTAAAAATGAGAAAAAACTCATCCCCCCACCTCCCATTCTCAAATTGGATTCTAAGAGAAAAACAAGAGGGAAGAAAATAAAGGCTCTAAGAAGAAATTATAGTGAAAAAGGGGAAATAATTTCTCCTCGTAGACCTTTTGAAATATTTCCAAGATCTACAGAGTACTGTTGGACATACCAAAACAATTTGTGTTCTGTGTATTATTTGATTTTATACAAGCATATAATGTTGGAAAGCTAGGTTCAAAATATTTAAAGTCCTAAGCAAACACTCACCTTTGTATCTATTGTATAGTTGTTCTAACTTCTTCCTATCCAATGATCCTTTTACACTCTCTCGTATATAAAGTTCAGGATTTTGGAAAAAATTGTCTGTTGCAACATCTAACTTCCAGTCATTTTGAGACAGACAACTTACTGCTGTTTTTTCGCTAGATTGTGTGAAGATCATAAACTGACGAACTTTATCCTTCTGCGATGATTTCAACTTGTTCTATTAAAACCAGAAAATAAACTGAGACTATATGTAAAATCATAAGACTAAGTAAATTTTATGTGGTTAACTAATCATTCTTAGTGATACTTTTTCTTCATAAAACATTAGCATCTTTTAGTTTATTTATTTACTTATTAATGAGAACGTGGCACAACTGTAGGATAAAGCCACCAGCCGCTCCTTGACAACATTATACAGGTTTCACTATGAGTCAGAATACACTAGATGACACTAACAACAACATTAATAAGACAGACAATTTTGTTATTTTATTTGAAACACAAAATTTGGTATCGTTTTGAAAAAGAAACCAGGACAGAGGCAAAAAAAAATAGCCCAGTCACCCTGCATTTTCCTAAAAGTAAATGTAGAATATGTACAGAGGCTCTGGAATAACCATGACCAAGCACAAAGCTCCAAGAGGGATACTAAAGGAGTGCTGGGGGAGGTGACACGATCTCACTAGTCAGGATGTTCAAATGACTGGGAACCAAGAGATTAACAGTTGTTTGTTGCAATCCTAATACCCTTTATAAAGGACATATTTCACAATTGCCCCCAACATCACTCCTTTGTTTTCTTGGTATTTTTACCAAATGGGAGAAAGTAATACAGTCCTGGTATGGCACTGTATGAGAAGCACTAGCCTACTAACAAGGTCGACAGTTCAAACCCACCAAACTGTATACAGGGTCACTACAAGTTAGAATCGAAAGATAGCACTGAACAACAACAATAAATTATCAGTATATCCCCCACCTGGTGGTATCCTGGAACCATGGAAATTATCAACAGAATTTACTTGATGTTCTCACTCAAATCTGAGGAAGCAATGGATATGAAAATGTATCCTTCCTACCCAGGTCATTTTAAGCGGGATATTCCCCACTTAGGAAATCTTTTTTTTTTTTCCCTTAGCCAGAGTTTAGCAGAGGTCCATGCTCTCTCCCAACAGCCCCTTTACTCTAATAACAGTTTCTTCTCACTTGTACCATACTGACACGGATTTATTTCTTATCTGGCCTTAGCCCAAAGACAAATGAGGCAGCGCCAAGAGGCCCTCCACGCTCTCCCAGTATCAAGGATTACCTTCTCCCCACCCTTCTTTTTCCACTCCTTGCCCTATACAGGCCTGCCCAACAATCTTGGCTCAGCAACAACACCTGGCTCAGCAAAATATTTGGGTTCTTCCTGAGTTTTAGGTTAAGGAAGAAAAAATGTACCAGAGTAGGACACACATTAGTGATCTTAGCAACACATCTGAGAACCCCAAAATCTTTGATCTAGGCCCAAACCGACAAATCACAAACCTCAATCCTTTGATTAATTTGATGAAAAACAGATCCAGAAAGTTAAGGAATTTGCCCCTCAAATCACTCAGGTTGTTACTATTATAAACGGGGCAAGAACAGAAATGTCTCATGAATCCCAGTCTTAATAATCTTTCTATAAACCACACTGCTCACTGTGGCTCTTTATAAAGTTTTTTAACTGGAAGGGAAAACAAAACAAAAAAACCCTACCAAAGGTACAAACATTTCCACTGATCTCAGAGTAAAAATAAGACTATCCAAAATAAAGTATGAAAATGAACCCTATTTTCTTGCAATATGAAAAAAATGTTTATGCCCTGGAGTCTGATCTGTCAATCACACTCCTCTCTGTAAACGCCACTACTTAGGATCACAGATTCAAATTGTAACCTCTGTTCCCCATTAAAATTGAGAAACTCTAAATTCACTAACCTCAAGCAATTCCATGGATAACTCTATCACCTCTGGACACTAAATAAGTCATTCCCAGTGTTCCACACACCTCTCAAATCTCCAAAGTTCATCTCCCTTTGAAAAAAGTCTCCTCAAGATTTACTACTTAATTAAAACAAGCTTATATTGAAATTGAACGCCAAGGAAGATAACTATTCTAATTTTTTCTACAACTGAAAATAAAGAAAAACCATTTTTATTTTAACCTTTGTTATGGATTATTGGTTTTTGTTTTAAGTCTGTTTTTCTCTCACAACAAATACAGTAAACTTATATACTCACATAGCTAACTAAATGAAGGACTAGGAAAGTCCCTCATGGTCATTGTGATCATTAATGACCACTGTACAATGTTGTAGATTAATGCGGAAGTAAACCCACCCAAGGACACATTCTGAAAATCATCTTTAATTTATCATGATGTAACTTCTTTGCATGATTTGCCACCCAATCTCCTAAAAATTGAATGCAGCAAAATCATCTGGTTTGTTTGGGGTTTTAGCACGCAGTATTAAATCCAAAGCTCAGTTCCCTGAAACTTCAATTACCTTTGTCAAAGAGGAGGAAAAATACAACTTAAAGCCATTTCTGCAGGCCAAAAAGACCTGTTTGCTTTATTAGTGATTTTCTATCATTGGGAAAGAAACTAGAAATTTAGGGAAACCAATAAAAAATTATCTTCCCCACACAAATTAGTAACAAAATTATGTAGGTGAATTATTGAATGTATGTCATATCTTTAGGAAAAAAATGCATGTAAGTCTAATCTATTTAAACTAATTTAAGTATTAATTTCTGTTAAGTGGAGTAATACCAATTTATTTAAGAAAAAGAGCTGCATCTACTCATTTCCAAAACCATACAGACTAATAATGAGTGGTATGTGACAAAAACTGATTAATATGGGTTCCCCGTGTTGGCTCCATAAGCTAAGCAATGGACTGATAACCACAAGGTTGGAAGTTCAAACTCACCAGCCGCTCCATGGGATAAAGATGAGGCTGTCTGCTCCTGTAAAGATTTAAGGTCTCGGACATGCTACACAGGGTAGTTCTGGTTTGGGGCAATAGGTAATCCCACCATCCCCGCAGAGTATAAACACTTACCCCTTTCTTTTACTTATAATGTGGGTTCCCAATGCCTAGAATAAATGTGAACACCGGTTCTCTTAAACCTGTTGTTTGTCAACTGCACCACTAGTCTGTCAATTTGCCATATATGGTGTGTTGCTGTGATGCTGGAAGTTATGCCACTGGCATTTTAAATACCAGCAGGGTTTATCCATGGTGAAGAGGTTTCAGCTGAATTTCCAGACTAAGACAGATTAGGAAGCGGCGAGGCAGACTACTTCTGAATACTAGCCACTGAAAGCTTTATGAATAGTAGTGGAAGACTGACAGAAAGCACCAGAGTACTGTCAGATACAGTACTGGAAGATGAGCACTCTTAAGTACAACTTGGGAAGAACTGCCTCCTCAAAGTAGAGTTGACCATGATAATGTGAATGGAGTAAAGCTTTTGGGACCTCCCTTTGCTGATGGGGCACAACTCAAAATGAGGAGAAACAGCTGCAAACATCCATTAATAATTGGGGCGTGGAATGTATGAAGTATGAATCTAGAAAAACTGGAAGCTGTCCAAAATGCAATGGAATTCATAAAGATC